GGGGGGGGGCAGATGTGTCTTCTTGCTGGTGCATGAGGATTCAGACAAAGTGTAGTTGTGTAGTGTTGATGCGCCCTCTAACCTTTACCTTAATCACTCCTCTTTGTCGCCATATCTGTGGGCCATTTAAACTGCTGCCATCCTGTCTGGCCCTGCAGCCTCACTGCATTCTCCAGTGCATTACAACATCTGAGCTCAAAGCAAATACCCGGTTTTGTGTTTTCAGGGGAAATCCCATGTACAATTTTAGCTTTTACACTGGTTGTTAAAGAGTCCCTCAGATTAGGGTTTTTATTTTCCCAGCACAGTTGAATGTGTCTTTTGAGACATCTAGTGGTCAGGTGACTGTGTGTGTGATGTGCAGTGTGTGTGCAGAGGTCACGGGGGTGATGTGGATGGTGACTTTAAGGGTCATAACGTCTAATTAGGTGGTAAATTCCACATCGGACCAACATCCACCCTCAAGTCATTTTTCTAGCCCCCGATTTCTAACGTGCTCATGAGATATTTTTCATAGTCTGTGTTTTATTATGAAGGCCCGGGCTTGGATTTTGGCATAATGGCTGAACTTCTGTCGGTTGTGCCCTGCGTGTGTGTTTTTACAAGTGAGAAATATTGGACCTTGAGCTTGAGAAGGTGTGGGGAATGTAGACAGCGGGGTCTATCTCTGTTCAAACAAGCAGGGCTGAACATGTAAACAAGAGCTGGTACAACCTAAACTGGGGTACAATTCCAGATATGTGTCAGTTTTCTTTGATTCCCTGCTGAGAAAGTGGACCAACAGAGACTATAGTGTCCCTGTCAGTTTGGTCTTAACTTACTAAACATACCGTGACAGTGCTCTGTCTGTCTGTGCATTGTTGTAGCCCAATTGTCCCGTAAAGCCCTTAGACATGTTCTTCACTGACAGTCTTTTCTCTAAAGCAACAGGCCTAGTAGCCTAATGATGTATGTGTGTGGGTCTCTAATCAGTCATCACTTCACATGACTCATGTGCAATGCTATAAGATGTTAGGCAAGGCTCTGTTTCCTCTGTTGTCGCAGGAACGGTTAAACAAACAATAAGCTGGAGGGTGCTTTCCTGCCCGAACTGAGTCAGACAGAACAAAGCAAAATGTAAACATGCATTATCTTTACCAACAGGAAAACTCTTCATTCCGATAGGCTTAATAGATCGCATGGTTTTAATACTGGAGCATTAACGAGTTTCATTCCTTATTTTTTTCTTCTGGTATTTTTTTTTCTTTCTCAGATGTAGCATTTGGAGTAAAATCAAGATTCACTGTGACTAAAAGAATGCCACATATAACGGTAATATTTAGGCTACCTGAGAGCATATATAGGCCCCTTTTCATTGTCTTTGTAGAGTAATTCTTCATCCTCCCGCTTCCTCTGTTTTTTTCCGGATAATGAGTCTAGATAGTGGGCTAATGTTGCAGTGTGTCATTGCAGCACCTTGTTGAGAGGCAATTAAAGCCGTGTAAAGAACATGAAGAGGGACACCCAGATGCAAGGAGAGGAAACAAATGAGCTCTCTGAACTGGTGTTGATTCTCTCACTGTCAGTCCAGTTAAACAGGACACACAGGGGGAGAGGAAGGAGGTGTGTGTGTGTGTGTGGGTCAATTTGTTTGTTAGAGAGGTAGGACACACATGTGGAGGTTTGTGTGTGTGTGGAAGGGGGAAGGGAGGTTGTTGTGGGTGTGAGATTCACCCTGGTGAGACTTGCGCCTTTTAGACATTCCTGACATTCCGACCTCGGGGATGCTTGAGGCTCCTCCGTCTTCTTCTTCTAGCATGTTGGGGGCTGCAGAGGACTCTGGAGGGCTTTTATGTCACAAGGCTCACACCGACAGGCCCTTTGGTTGAACAGAAACCATATACCCTCTAATTTAGGAGGCCATGGGAGCAAGTAGCACAGCAGACACCAGGTCTTATTAAGTTACATACGCAGATGACACTTAAATCGCAATGGGGGTCTTATATGAACGTAGATGTTTGAACCTTTTTTTTTTACTTTTTGGGGTTAAAATGACATCTTGATTTAAAAAATCCTATATTTCAGGCAAAAACTTTGTGGAGGGAATGATGGGCTCTATTGTAATACAAGCACTTTTACTTGGTTGCAAAGACACATACGATTATGATTATGTCAACTTCTAGGCAAAAAGTGATTACATAGAAAACATGACTTCATTCTTCTAACAATGTACCTCGTTCTTTTTTCTCTCTCCTCTACATACTGCCTTGTGATCAACAACCTTCTGTGGGCCAGCCATGACAGTTCATCCTGTATCTGCGCGACCACTCAACAGCCACTTCTGACCAAACCTTATTTAGCAAACCAAAGATGTCAGCGTGCAGTGACTTTGCAGAACACGTGTGGAAACCTGGCTCTTGTAAGAACTGCTTCCACCCGCTTAGTGCACACCACAAGACTGTCGGGGGCCTGGGTGGCAGTGCGCCAGCCGCTTGTTTGAAGAGCAGCCTGGGAGGTGATGAAGAAGCGGAAGTAACAGCACCTTCGCCCTACAGCAAGCCAACCATCGCTGTCAAACCCACTATGATGAGTCTTGACACCAACGAGTCGATGACTGATGTCAACATGAACATAGACCAGGTGATTTTATTAAATGTCTCTTTTCTGTAACAGCCCTTACAGTTTATTACTGTACAGAATGATTCATCTGTTCTTTAATGTGTGCTCATGTTTATGTGTGACAGGAGAACACAAAGAGCCCGGTTGAACGTTTGGGCCTGAAGAAGCTCTTGGACCTGTCGTCACTTTACATTGACAGTAATGGCTGCAACAAGGCCCATAGAGAGGCGGTTCTCCAGAGTCCTGAAACCAAGATGGACTACAACAACTGTTTCTCCTTATCCTCCAACATCCTGCCTAAAGACTCCATGATTATCAGCAATATCTTCGTCACCCAGGAGGAGGGTAGAGGTTCTCAGAGTTTAAAGAAGAATGCCAATGGAGACACTTGTAGGCAGCAGAATACAACCACCACTAGAACCAAGAGCACTTATAATGGAATTGGTGTGACTACCAGGACAAATTGTCAGGAGTCTCATCAGGCATCTGTGGATATACCCTTTTCTGTGGATATTGTTCCTTCCAGTCCCGCCACAGTTCATAGCAATGGTATCAGCAGTGGGAGTACTGCTACTATTACGACTAAGACATCCAGCACTTCCCCCACCACAGCCTTAAGTGTAGACACCACTAGCCACAATCCCCCGCCATCCCTCCAATCTCCTCCCATCCTGTCTAAACAGACCAGCCTATCGGACTCTACTTGTTCTTATCGTAGCAGTACAGATTCACTTCCTGGGGCAGAGCGGTCGGGAGGAAGACAAGGTAGGTCAGGGAGCCCTCAGAGCCATCCAGCCATGGGTAGCTCAAAGTCAACTCCCAGCTCTCCCAGCGGACAGCCAAACTCTGAACCCATTTATGCAGAAAGCACCAAGAAAAAGCGCAGGCCGCAAGGAAATGGAGTGCAATCCCATCCTGAGTCCCAAAACCAGATAAAGAACTCGTCCCAGGGCTCTGAGCTTTCAGGAGAGAGTCAACGGGCTACCATCACTGTGATGGCCGCTCACACAGAGGACAACAACAGGACTTTCTACCTGAGCAGTCCAGATTCAGCCATCAGCACCCAAAGCCACTTCAGCCCCACAGCACGTAAAGACCCCAGCAGCCCGGCCTTCCGCTGGCCCAGCCCCAGTCACAGCGCACCCTCTTTGGTCACAGAAGCTAGCCTTGCCCCAACTCTCTATCCAAAGCCTCAGTCTAGCCCACCCATTCCCCCGAAAAGGACCACCCGTTCCCCCAAACTGGGAACCTCTAGCCTCTCACCGTCCATGTCTTCTCCAGTCCCTCTCCCTGATCTCCCCAAACTGGGCACCTCCAGTCTCTCACCATCCATCTCATCTCCTGTCCCTCTGCCTGAACTTTCCATGCTTTTCCTCGTCTCTGCCAGAGAGGGCCACTTCAAGGTCCATACAGAGAACCACAGCGCAGCAGCGTCTGAACGCTGGCAGAAGCCCCATCACCACAGTTCTAGCTGGAACTGTCGCATCGAGGAAGAAGAGGAAGAGGAGGAGAAAGAGCGGAAAGAGGGGGAAAAGAAGAAACTGGCAGCCAACCCAGGGACAACCTCTCGGGTGACAGGCCTGGTCAGTGGTGCCGCTGTCTGGAAGGAAGCCAGGGACTGGAAGGCCCACAGCAGCCCCCCTCCGATGACAGAGCCAGGCACGGCCCCCCCGGCTGCCCCCAACAATGGTGCCTGTCAGGGGGAGACTGAGGGCACCGGTGCAGAGGAGGAGGGCAAGCATAACGGGAGCATGCCGGCCAGGCAACCGTTGCATGGCGGCTCATCAGATCTGCTGGCAGCAGGGAAAGGAGCTGCCAACAATGAACCCAACCCACCGCCTCCCCCACCTAAGAAACTGCACAGGTAAGAAGAACAAAGAACTTTTTGTTTGGAATTTAGACATTCAATTATTAACCCTTTAAATTGGATATAACATTAGTACTGTGTTAATGTAGGACTATAAGTGTAATTTGTTATTGATTAATCTTTTTCAATAAATCATATTGTCGGTGAAATGTCAGAAGTAATGACAAAATGCCAGTAAGAAGTTAGCTAAAGTCTGAGGCAATAACATACTGAGTTTTACCAATAGACACAAACATCAAGATATTCAGTTTACAACATGAAAGAATGAAATGTGTGCAATTCTTAATAATGAGGAAGCTTGATGCCACCAGATGACAAACATTTTCTCTAGATAATAGACTTGGATGATGTCTGGAGATTATTAGCTGCATCTCAGCATGTCATTCAGCTCCTGAAGTGAGTTGTTTTCTTTTACAGCACTACATTTTATGCTATGTTTTTTATTTTTTATTTGTTCAGTGCAGCGGAGAAGATTCGGTGGTGCAACATATCACCTACTATGCATTTTTCATAATACTCTTTATGCTAAATAAGGACAAAGCACAGTAAATACACCAGCTATTTAAAGTAAGGGTTGGTCTTAAATAGTGTTTAGGATAAGGCAGCTGTGTAAAAAGAACCAGTCTAATAGAGGTTTAATTACACACTGGTATATACCATACCCTTGCAGTAAGATAAATGCTATCCATTTATCAAACTTGAACTGCCCATTATAGCACATATTGCATGCCTGTCCTTCAGTCTCCTACCTGTGACGTGCATTAGAATTAATGTGACTGTAATTCAGCAATGAGACTGTAGTTTCATTATATTTCATAATTTAGCACTTACAATATGCACTTAGCCTAAATGCATAAATGCGTTTGGGCCCCGGTGGGATAGCAGATATATATAGTACTGGTGCTGCTTATGGAATATATTGCCTGACTGTGTGTCTGTGCACATACATGCGTCTTACTGCAGTGATCTGTGTGAATCGTACTGTGCCTTCTCCTTTCAGAGCATCATTATTCAGCCTTGAATCAGCCTCCATTCTAGCGCCTTGTGATCATTCAAACTGTTCCGGCATATTCCTCAATGCATGCCTTGTTCTATTCATGCTAGTAATGTGACTTTTTCAATTCTAATTAACACACAAAATGAGCCTGTTAAATAGTCCCCTGCTGTGTCACGTTGTTGTAAATTTGTTTTGGCTGCAGCACAATAGACAGAAGTGTAAAAAAAAAACGGGCCTTGTTCCATTGATATTGTCATACAAGGACAAAGCTGTCATTAGCGGGCATTCAGATGCATCTTTGGGCAAAAAAAAAAATGTCACTGTTGGCATGAATGGGCTTTACCTGCACAACATTCACATGTTGCTGCTGAAATGCACATCCTGGTTATTTTTATGGCTTAGCAACCGTATTTAATTCCAACTTGCAGGAAATGCAGAAGATACATTTTCACCTTTATTCAAGACGCGCACTGTTGCGACCTTTGCACACGTGCTTTAACCTGAGTCTGCACGAGGCTAAGAATACTCTGCGCTATCTGAGTCAGCTACCCAAAGCAGAAACAGAAAAGAGGCCTTGTGTTGCAGTTAGTAGAGCATCAAATGATCTGCTCAAAATAAACTTCACTTTGTCTGGGATGGCGCGATGAGGTGTAATACACGACGAGACTTCCTCAAAAGAAACGGATGGTCTACCATCTTGAGCTGCTCGAGTCAGCAAATGTTGAGTGTGAATGTTTTACTGTCAAAAACGGATTTCAAGGGCCCTTATGTTTGTGGTAATTCTAGTAAGGACCCATCTCTCCTGTTATGACATTGCCGACATTCTGCGCTGATAAAAATACACCTTGTTGAGGCACATGTGGGAACGCGCTTCGAGCCAGCCAGCGACAGTTGTGGCTTTCTGGTGCTCTAAGTTTATCAGCAGGTGTAGTGTGTTTTTAATCAACAAGTGTCCCTGGTCCCCAGGCACGTAAATCACAATCTAAATCTTACCTGCAAAGCAGTCAAAACCTCATGACAAAAAGGGGAATCTTGTGTGGAATGAATGGAAAATGTTTACAATACAAAGACACACATGCAACATGCACCCTGTGAAGCTGCATTTTCATGTGCTGAATCATTTAAAAGCCCCAGATGGTTTGAAAAATCCACCTTTGAGAGCTTTTGATCACAGTGGAAAACCCCAAATTTCCCCTCCATTCTTCCCTGTAACAAGTCAACCTACATATCTTCAGCCTAAGAGGTGTGTTTGTGTTTGTGTTTGTGCCCATGACATGCATGAGTTTATGAGCAAGTACTGTCTAACGTGGGAAGGCGTGTCAACTGGTCAGTGAAGGTTGCCAAAGGGAGGAGCATAGCGAACAGATTGTTGCCCCCGGCAACTCCCAAACTGTCCCCAGTCTGGCAGTCCGTTGCCACCAATAGAAGTAGAATTTATAGATCAGCAGTGTGGATTTAAGTCCACTGAGTGTGACTTGGGTTTGAATTGCCTTTTGCTCTGTAAACTGTGGTTCCAAGGCGTGCTGCCCCTCCCTGCACAGATCCATCCTGATTCCTTCTGTGCAGCAGAACAGATAGCATCTTGTTGCCGCCTGACAGACCTAAAGCTGTGCCAAAGTGAACTACTAGGTCAATGAGTGAAGGCTATATATGAGATATGGGTGCTTTAATTTTGCACATCTAATGGGTGCTGCTGCTTTTCCTGCTGAGAGAGACTTTAAATACACGTATGACTCGTGTGGAGCCAGGGTTGTGTTACTACACATGACGGGGCTTTAGAGAGCCACTGGCCTGATCCAGGGGCATTTCGCGCCCGCCTGCCCGACAAGGACTTCTGCCTCTTCAGAATGAGGTAGGCACCTGATGGCATCTTTTTCTCATACGTGTCCTCGGTAAGAGACTATCTATCATTAGACTTGTGAAGGGAAGTGGCGATGTTCTTGTTCACACAGGAACATGGTGAAGTTGAAGATGTGTTTCAGGAAAACACAGAGCCTTTAGTGGTAAGCGCAGGCCTCTGCTTGTTTTCACATCTCTGTGAAGAGCTTACTAGTCAAAATCAGGTGGCTTTGAATTGCACAGTGACAGACAGCATGTGGTCAACTTTTTGCTCATGCTTTTATTTCCTCCCTCTTTCATACCTTGCCTTTTGCTCTTCTTCTAATCTCTTCTTTTACTTACATTACCTTGTTCTTTTATTTGGTCCCATCCTGTTGGTGTGATTAGTATGAGAATGAAACTGAAGTGTGTTACTTCATGTGATTTGATGCAAACAAATGGAAGTGGTTTGTAATGAAATAGGGGACAGAGATAGCTGACAGAGAATAAGATAACAAGGCAAGGCTGGAGCAGTTTGCAAAAGATAACAAGGACTGGTGTCAAACATTAATGGATCTTTGTTTCAAAGATATGGTTTATATGGCTATATAGCCATGGCAACTATCCTGCAATCATGGAAAAGGAACAATGCATGCCATTCTTCTCTGTGCTATATTACGACATGCACAATAACAAAAACATGCACTATAATGTAATCCAATATAACAGCAATGGAATAAATGGTACCTTTTGTGAGTTTATATAATAGAAAAGGAACACCTAAGAGCACCACAAATACAGTTCAGTCAGTTCCTCCTTCCTTTACATTGTAAAAGTTTTAAAGGTTGTGTGAGTTACAACTTGAGTCAATCTTCTTACAGTATTTAATGTCAGTACTGTAAATGTATAACCCCCTTGACTTTTACTAAAATAATATTGTCTCTATGTAAAATCTGCACTAGGGCTGCACAATTATGTGCTGCAGAAATATTTCCAAAAACGCAATATGGTCAAGCTGTGTGAACCTGAACCTGAACCACAACAACAACAACAACAACAACAACAACACTGCAGCTTAGCTTGGGTCTGATTTTAAACTGTCACACTGCTATCTGTAGCTAGTTAGCTGTAACCCCAATCTGATCCCTTTTAAGAACTCCCCCAGCTCCTCTCACACTGCTTTATTAATACCACACACATGTCGGGGGAGCATGTGTGTCAACAGATCCGGTGTGTTGCTTACTGTAGCGTGATTGTTTACATTCTAAATGTGGGATGCTGTCGTTGCCGGGCTGATTGCAATTGCAGAACACAAATCAATTTCTTTTTTTCCTTTTTTTTTTTTTGCAAGGGACGAGATTGTATCTACTCTGAGGAAATAAGTAATTAAGATGTTTATTAATAGATGTTTAGGCTAAAACTGGACATTCCTAGTAGAGTGATGAATGTTGCCTTTTTGTGTCATGACGACATGAGACAGAAGATACTATCTAGATTTTAAAATTAGATTTTCAGTCCTCATTTAATTTAACGCTGACTACATCCAGTTGTAGAGAACCAGTGACTGTAGTGCTGCAATTAATTGATCAGTTGATCAAACATTTGATGGTGCTAGATTCTCAAAATGTTAGGCTTTTTTCTTTTTTACTTGACCTTCTCATTACAATAAACTGAATATATTTGGGTTTTGAACTGTCAAAAACAGTCATTTGGACATTGTGCTGGCCATTTTCCACCTTTCCAGACATTTTAGTGACCAAAATCAGTTAATCGTGAAACTAATTGTGAAATCAATTGATAATGAGAACCCTTAGAATCCCTGTATGCTGCTTACATGCAGTCCTAATCAGAGTCGAGCTCTTTTTGCATGCCCTTGCTCAGAAGGCTCATTCATCCACACACATCCTCCCACAGGACACAAGCAATGACATTCTTTCACCAAGGAAAATCTCATGTTTTGGATACAAATCTGAAAGATCTAGAGTGAGACATGCACAGGCGCACACATGCACATAGACTCATAATCCCCACAGCCATTACCATTTCTCCCCTGCCTCAGCATTTCCACTGCCTTTCATCACTGGTCTTTTGTCTGTAAAATGATAGCGGATCCTTTAGCTAACTGCCCACAGAGAATACCTAACCCTTTGTCTCCCCCTGTGCTACTCTCCTTTTCCTCCCCATCTGTTTGTTCTGCTGATTTATGGTGGAATTGAAGTCAAGGGGGCCGGCAGATAAATGGATAGAGGAGTCATTTTGTGATGGAAGAGAGGAATGAGAGATGAAGGGATGGGATTGGACCCTGCTTTCCTGAGCCATTAGCGGGTATAATGAGACAAGTTGAATGGCTGTCACTCAGCCTAATTGGTCACCTTGATTAGAAAGTCTGCTCATGCAAGGTTTTCATTGGCATTATAAGTGGCCATCATGGCAGTCTGGCATACTGAACAGGAAGAGTGCAAAGCTAAATAAAAATGAAGAATATCACAATCTTCCTCTTACAGATGAAAAGTTGAATTCATAAGCAATAAAAAGCACCTTTGCTCAAATCAATATCCTCAGGGCTTTCACTGCCACATGTTCTTTAAGACTTTTTTTGTGGTATTTGGCTTTTATTTATAGCCTATAGAGAGATAGGCAGGAAACGAGTAGAGAGAGATGGGAAATGACTCTGTGACTCTGTGACTCTGTTTGTCGTTTCCTGCTTGTGGTCCCATTCTTACTCTTGTCAGGTTAGTGTATGGGTTTCAGAGTACTGTACCTATTTTGCATTGCTCTCCTATAACACTGTAGGACAAAACAAGCAACCCGACTGCTGACAGTTTGGTCAGAAATGTTGTATAATGCTAGTAGTGGCTAATGTAGCCTCGAGCCTGTAGCCTAGGTAGAGACGAGTGGTGGGCTACAGAGGGTCTGCTAACATCACTTCTTTTTAACTCCACACCTCCAGATTTATTTTCAAACTTCTAGTCTTTCGGCTCCGTGTGAGTCTGCCTCAAGTGACATCACATTTATCAGATTTTGCATAGCTCCCTCTAGAACCACAAAATGCTTTATACTACTTTGTTTTCATATGCAGAACTAGTACTGCCCAAAACCTTTAAACAGACTTTGATGTGTACAATTGGATCTCCCCTTTATGACAACTAACTGAGAGAACTCGAGGCAGTTAACCGTCCTCAAGAAGGGAAGACAGAAAAAGGCAAAACTACCATATCCGAGAGACTCATAACGTGTCATACGATGTTTTGTTTTTAGTAATGCTGGTTTGTTGCAGTTTTAAATCACTGAACACTGACCCGAACACACACTGAATCGAGAAGTGGGCCCTATTAACAAGGAAGTGAAACTACTCCTGACGCCACTTGTTTGTCATATATAATTAAACAATGTGTTCTTTCACAAGGACATATTAGAAATATGTAGCAGATAAGAAAACATCGAGGGGAAGTGGAGTGGTTCCACATTTATAAACCGATACAGAAAAACCTGCAGACTGACTACCAAGAGACACTGCACTGGCAGACAGCAACGCAGTTACAGAAAAAATATTCACAAAATATGTCCTCAATGCATTTTCTGTTTTTTTTTATAATATTCACTTACCCCATCTCTGTTGTTTTCTCGATTGCAGAGTGTGTAGTAAGATGAGTGGCAGCAACATGGAGCTGGACCGCTGCAGCCAACAAGGGTCAGTAGAGAGCCCTACTTCATCTCTGCGGGGTCTGAGCAGTGCCAGCCTACCCACTGCCTCCACTGACAACCTGACTGCTGACAGCGGTAAGAACCATTCACACTCATACTTTGGCCAGGTTAAGGGGGCTTATTTAAATATGTTGAGTGGTGCAGATCCAATGGAACATGCACAGGCAGCTGACAAAGCAAAAAATGTGTCGTTTATTGAGGTTAGTAGTCTTCTTTTAGTCTCACAGGTTTACAGACGTATGAATGGGGATACTGATAGTTGATATGTATTGCCTGCATGTTGTCTTGCTGTTTCAGACGCCATTTACTCGCATTTAACTGTGAAGATGCACTTTGTCCAGAGTGAAACTGCAACAACAATGAAAAGAGGAAAGGGAGCACTGCAAGGTTTTATAGCAGCAATCTGTCAGCTTATCTCTTCTCTTCCTCTTTTGTCAAGTGCACATATACAGTTTGTTTTGACGGGGGTGTTCATTTTCATGGCCTAGTTCAAGATTTCTGCAGTCGTCAAACCTAAAACGTGGTTCGGAATAAGGGGAATGCGTCCTTGATTTAGAAATTGTCATCCTTCACATATATTGGCTTTAAACCTCTGTGGCCCTCAGACGTTTGTAATTGCTGTAGCTTCCTGGGCAATGTTGTTTGAAGAGATAATTATGGACTCTGATAACGAGGAAAAAGGGCTTGGCTACATCCTACAGAGTATTTTCTTTACAGTCTTCCCCCTCTGTGAAAGCAGTTATTGAAGACTGCGCCACACAATTATCTCAGTATCTGTCTCCTCTAGTGTAATGTCAAGTTCCAACTTTAAGTCTTTAATTGACAAATGGATCATAATTGGATGGAAGATGTTTTTAGTGTCAGCTTGAACCCCGGATTGTGGAAATTTCCAGCTCTTTTGAGGAAACGAGGTATGTGTTTGTACTTAGGCCAAGCAGTAGGCATTGACAGAAGGAGTGTAGTAAATGAATCAAATTCACAGCTGTCACTCAGGAATATGTAAGTCTGTGAGTACTGTGAGGTTACAGGAAATTGGTTTACAAGGAAACAAAAGATATATTATGTAAATCCAGGGAGAAGATTGGCCTCCAGTGGTTGTTGGTCTCTATCTGTATCTGTGTTCTTGGAAAATTAAGTATTTTTATTGCTTTTCTTGTTTCATAACACTGTGTTCTTTGTGTGAGCATTTTGTTGTATTGGACGGAGACCCTGATCGTGCCGTAATGCTCATCTTCATTGTCAGTAATCGATTGGCAGACCCGCTGATTATAGTTTTTCTCTTTTCTTAGGTTCTCGGGATGCTACGCGGATATCTTGTTCCTCTCCATTTACCAGAAGTCCAGTGGCCTCAGCCCCAGGGTCTCCTCTCCCGCCCTCCTTTAACAGCTTAACTAACCAGCCGCCTCCACTCCCGGAGAAAAAAATGGTCAACCGCACTGTGTCAGCTCCCGATAGCGCAAACGGAAAACCTTTCGTCCGAGCTTACCCGCGCCTCCCATTCACTGGCTCGGAGAGCAACGTGTGTCGACCTGCTGATGTCAGCTCCCGGTCCAGTTTACCGTCCAGCCCTGTTGACCCGCGACCCATTTTCTCTTCCAACGAGTCTCTGGAGCATTGTCATGCCCTGCTAGGCCGATCCTCAAGGTCCCGGACGCTGGATGAACCACTGAAGACTCACGGGCGTCTGGGTGTCCACTGCCGAAGCAGCGTCACCTGCTCCTCCTCTCCTCAACTCAGCGTACCCTTCTCCGCCTCAGAACCGGGTCTGGCACCCAATCTGGGCTCTAGCCTGCAACTCCAGACCCTTCTGAGTAACATAGACAGTAGGGAGGGAGTGTACTCCAAATTGGGAGGCCTGTATGCTGAGTCTTTGCGGCGCTTGGCTCTAAAATGTGAGGATCACTTCACTCGCTCGCAGAGGAACCCACTTAGGTTTGAGGAGAGCAACTGGTCTCTGTTCCGGCTCACCTCTAACAAGCCCAGCTGCAACGCGGGAGATGCTGTGTACTACTCTGCTGCCTGTGCCTCCGACCCCAGCAACTCCTACGCTGTAAAGGTAATCCCTAACTACTGGACCTAATTTGACAATTTTATATAGTGAATTTATTAAATATGTGTTTAGTGTAACCATGATCACTTCCAGAACACCTTAAAGTTATATTCCCTAATATTACAGTCCTGATTCATTTGATGATACCCTTGGTTAATGGTGGTACCAGCAAGTGTGTTGTAATACTCCACGTCCCAGAATTCTGAGGGCAGCAAGCATCCATGAGAAGGTACTTTGTCAGAAACAATTTTTGAATGAATTACACAACAGCAGAGCACAATAAAGTTGGTCACCTTGCTGTAAGTTTGAGGTCTACAGTCGCCTTCATTAGACAGTGTGGCGTCCTTCCACCAAATGCCAACAATGATCATGCCTTGCGTTTTTTAACACAGTTTAATTAACAATTGTGGTCAGCACTAACCTCAGTTTTAATGTGAAGCAGCGGCAATGTGAAATGTTCGGTTAGGCATGAGCAATAACTTAATATGGCTCTGGTATGGCAGAGTGAACAATACAAAATCACTTTAATGCTTAAGAGGAATAGAATTATGTCCATATTGTTGCATCACCATCACATTTGAACACGGAGTGCGGAAGACAATAGGTATAGGATTGTAAACAAGTGTGGGTTCAATGTTTGGCTGTTGGCTGCTTGTTCAATGTACAGATCCTGTTTTTTCTCTCCACTCGGAGATTGTTATCAAGAGAGCAACTGGCAGCTCAACTCGAGATCATCTTCACTGTTGTTTAAGGAAGAATTTGCACAGTGGGTGTTGTAAATTGATCTTTTAAGCAGGGATTTGACAGTTTAGGGATAGAACGAGGAGATTAAAATAGGGCGGTGGTCTTGTTTGTTCTCGAGCTGCAGATGGGATGGCCCCATTACAGCTCAGACCTTCTGGGTATGTAGTGTAAACAACCAGGAAGAAGGGTGTGGATTCAGTCTGACTGACCTTTGTCCTAAAGTCATTAGTGTTGTACAAAGCAGCGGCTGTTTGTACAGTATGTGTTGTACCACAGCGTGGGTGCCCACAGTCTTGCTTAATATCTCTAGGCCCAATTAATCTCTACATTCCAGGCAGGATTTACAGTCAGACAAACCCCTGTTGTCAAGGCCACACACACACACACACACACAACCCAATACACCATCCAGCACAAAAACTTTATGGATTGATTTTCAGGCGTGCTACCAGTGTGATGTCGACTGAAACTTGAACCCCATGAAAGTAGATTTTAGTCCAGTTAATCACAAAGAAGAGATTATATTTATAAATCTGACTCCAATGGACAATGAGAACATACTGGAATTTCATGAGAGACATTTGGATTTTTGTTTCAAAATTCTTATGGAAGATTTTATTCCGAGAAGTTGGTCGTCCTCTTGCAAGTTGTGGGAAAATTCCGACACTGAGGGGCATCCAGTAGCCTAAAAACAGCTTTCAGTCGTGGATTGGGTTTAAATCTGCATCTAAGACATAGATTTTGCTTGAATGAGAACAGGAACTGGATTGGCGTTGACCTTGGAACCTCACTAACAAGAATTCCTTTCTTATTTTTCTTGGCTCCACTCCCTTCCCCCGTCTCTGTGTGTGGAATTCTTTCTCCCCCCCTCTGTCCCTTTCTTCTCCTTTGCTTAATCCTTTCCTCCCACTGTCCTTTGTGTTTATACCTCTCCAGATTTGCAAGAGTCCATCCATGGAAGCCAAACAGGGTCACCTGTACGGTCTGTCAGTGCAGCAGAACATGCCTCCCCACTTCAACCTCCAGCAGGACTGTGGTCACTTCCTCGCTTGTGTCCCCCAGAGCATGTTGCCATCTGACGAAGTCTCTCTGCCCACCACACCTGCTTCATCGCTGCCCCAGGCCTCCACATCTGCGCCTGGCCAACAGGCGGACCGAGAACGAGTGGTGGTCATCACCTCTGAGATCCCTCAGCAGACAGCAGCTGATTTTGTTCGGGAGTGGGAGGCGTTCCATAAATCTCAGCCCGAGGTCTACGAACGGCGTGTATGTTTCCTCCTCCTGCAGCTCTGCAATGGCCTGGAGCACTTGAAGGAGCACGGGGTCACTCACCGTGACCTCTGTCTCGAAAACCTGTTGTTGGTGCCTCATCTCCGCAGGTCCTCCCACTTCCCCCAGCAGACCACCACTGACAACGGCACCAGCAACAGTTCAGGCGGTGTAGACATTCAGCGTCACCTTCCCCGGCTCCTCATCAGCAACTTTGCTAAGTCCAAGCGTCGTTCCTCCGAGGATGCCGCGTCAACCACTGTGGATCCTCGCATCAAACGTGACCACGCCAGATTGGCGCCTGAGATCGTCTCAGCAGCCCAGTATCGTAAATTTGACGAGTTCCAGACAGGCATCCTGATCTATGAGCTCCTCCACCAAGCCAACCCATTTGAGGTGAGCCCAGCTCTGAAGGAACAAGACTACCGCTGTGAGGAATTGCCTCCAATCCCCTCCGTCTCCCTTTACTCCATCGGCCTCCAGAGGCTGGCCCAGCTCCTGCTCCAGCCTGACCCCATCAAACGTATCCACATTCAGGAGGCCAAGCGCATACTGCAGAGTCTCCTCTGGGGCCCGAGGAAGGACCTGATGGAGCAGCAGTGGGAGAGACACGGACAGGGGGGAGGCTTCGTCGGCGGATCCCGACACGAGGGCCTCCTCAACTGGCTGGATGTGAAACGCGCCCTACTGATGATGAAGTTCGCCGAGCGTTCGCTGGAGCCCGAGAGGAACGCGGAGCTGGAGGACTGGTTGTGCTGTCAGTACTTTTCTTCGGCTCACCCTCTGTCTCTCTGCCACACTGCTGAACTGCTCTACTCGCTAAAGTGACAGCTCACTTTAAGGTTAAAGATGTCCGTGAGCGGAGCCGAAGTAAAGCGTGAATGTGTGTATGAGAAAGACCAATAATGTCAAAGTTAATGTCTTGACACTATGGACGGGTCCAGTGTGATCCTTTTGGAGATACTATGAACCCACCCACCTGTTTGCGCTACTGCTGCATGCACAAGAGCCATGCATCAACCTTGCCGTCCACTTTCAGTATCCTGCTACAGACTGTCAGCTTTGCAAAGAAATAACCTGTGAAGATTCAGCTGTTTTTTTTAGATGTTCTTGTCACAGACATACAGGCAAAATCACTAAACATTCACTCTGACTAGAATCACTTTATGCCAGTGATGCTGATAAGTACATCGGTAAAATAAAAAAGGAAAAATATGGACAGTATTCATAATCCTATAATACACTTACCAAAGTTTGATGTTTGACACTGTTTTGTGTGTATTTAAATATCAGTTATGACATTTTACCCACTGAGAACAGGCTAATAATTCATAACCCTATTCTGTGTCAGCCAGCTTTGCAAAGTAACGCTGTGTTGTATCTACGTAATGTGCAGCTAACTTTTAAATTTGTCTGATATCTTAATAAAAATATGAGGTCACTAGCACACTTACACTGTTGCACCTTTTTTCCGTCATGTTTATTCATGGGCACATAGTACTGTATTCTGTGGAAACGACACAATTTCAAACCAAAATCCACCAAAAGTTGCAGAATAATTTTCTATTTCTCAATGAATACTGGTGTAGTAGTTAGAGAGAACAAGGCAGGCTTCCGTAAGACTGTGTTTTGTCACAATCTTTATTTAACAGGTCTGAATAATAAAGACTTCTTCAGTTCATCCTAAGTCATACTGTAACTCTCTAACACAACTCAAATAGTAATTGGAGTGGCAAAACAATTGGCAATGTCAGCGATTGCTTCTACTGAATGGCTGCCCAGTTTTTCCCTCTGCTTACTTTTAGTATATATTTAAATGTTTTGACATTCGTCGCAGTGCCTTTTGTTCTTTGTATATGTTACAGTGACTCCGAAGCCAAATGTAAATATTACTGATCATTCGTCCTTTGTGAAACTGGCCTTTCACAGAATGTTCCAGAAACAATTTTGTACAGTAATTTGTAGATGAGCCCAAGCAGGTCTTAAAAAGCCATGAATATGAGCAGCAGTTAAAAATATTTATGATATCATTTGTTATCCTGTAGTAGTCACTGGAATTTCTCTGTTTATTTTCATATGTGGATTATCAAGTTATTTGTTTTCTGGCACAGCAACAGCTGGGCCTGTTTTGTTTTTGCCTCCTGTGTCCCCTGTAGGCTACAGAGAGAAAGAAAATCAAGTCATGGGTATTTTATCTCCAAGAAATAATTTCCTAATAAGTCCAGAGTAGCAAGAATTTAACAGCCTGCATGCAGGCTTCTGTCCATGTGTGACTGATGTTGTTCTAATGTTGAATATTAAAGAAAAACATCGTCAGAACTCACAGCTAATACATAGTTGATTTGAATTATTTTGTGTGCCTCACCTATTTGCATCTATCAATAAACTGTGCATATATTTTCTCACAGTATTATTTGGTGTTATGATCTTTTTTTTTTTTGATGCATCCACTTTTATAATGGGCTATTATCAGCTGCCTGTATTGTGAAATGGATGAACTAATGAATACATATGGTAAAATCTATTAGTCTTAGTCCCAGTTTGAACATATAAAATGAAACTGTTTGTGCAAATGTTTGATTGTATGATTCAACTGTACACAAACGAATGAGGGCCTGATTGGAGTCCAGTCCCCATGTCTTCACAGAGGAAATGTAGGATATTATTTTAATGTACAACACGAGCGAGACTGCGCACAAAGTGATCTCGTCTTTGTTATGTTTGTTGTCTCACTCTATTTCCCAGTTTAGAATTCCAATTGCTCTAAAGTACACCATGCAAGACTGTGTGGCATCAATTGTAAATTATAATTGTTTTTCATTCTGCAATTACAATTTGTAATTGCAGAATGAAAAACCTTAACCATGCAAAAACCAGGGAAATCTATGTGTGCCACTAGCATCAGGCAGTATGGAAATCCTCAGCAGGAAACAATATTGCTACTGAATACATTGTTTTTCCTAGATTTCCTAGATTAGGTTGATTTTTTTCAACATAATATCATTTTTAAAGGTATATAAATAAATTGCGCAGGCAATTTTCAGTTTAAACTGAACAAAACATCAACTGGCACAAAACTCAAGAGATGGACAGAGAAAGCCGAAAAACTCGGTTCAACCGAAGGAGCCGCAGCTACTGAGACAGTGCACTGCATGGAGCTACACAACAGGTTGTACATGTAGTAGAATCTCAATTTGAGTTTGGAGCCTCAGGCCAAAACAGACCCCAGACTTTCCCCCCACCCTGATCCCTCCCTTAGAGCCGCATGTAGAGTTCTGCTTCACATCGCTCCTTCAAAACCACTGGCTGCTCCCTTGTCATAGGTGGAACTATGTTGCTATGGTGTTTTGACCAATGGAATGGCATTTCCAGGAACGCAGTCAGTCTCTGTCTCCCTCTTTCTTTCACACACACACACACACTTATACACACTCACCGAGTGAAGCAGCCTGTTGAGCAAGAATCCAAATAACCCCCTGGAAACAACATGGCTCCCTTCTTTGTTTGTCCAGTGAACACCGGTTAGGAGGTTGCATACTTCCTTTGAGCAAATATGCATCCCAGCAAACCGTCCTCAGAGCAAGACCAAAGACGACAAAAACAAAGATATGACACCTCAAACCTCCCACATCTTTAGTATTATTACCGTATGAATGCAACTGCCGTCAGAAACAGTATTTAAAGTGAAATGTTGAAAGAAGAATCCACTCTAAAAACTCTGTTCAGAGCTAACTTATCAGCTATACTGTACCTCCAGGTCCATTTTCTTGCTAGTTGGAATCTTTTCTTATTCGCAAGGATGAGTGGCCAAACATGTATTCTGACTAAAACTTCCAGTCACTGGCTGCCCATAATTACTTTCTAATTACACTGTACTTTCTTTGCACATGCACTACACTTCTTAAATAAATAAATACTTCTATAGCACCCAGTTCGAAGGCACAACATATATTTATATGTTCATGTCAACATTTCTTATGAAACCACAAGCATGACATGATGTTCCGTATATTTAAATGACTGGCAAATGATTTCACCCGCACTTGCGAATTCATCCCATTATCAGTTTGAATATGTAATGCTCAGTGTTGGCTGCCTCAGCTGGCCTCAGGAAAGCTATCTAAAAAAAAAGTTCCCAGGCCAAATTTCCATTCACATTGTTACAGCACAGCCAGCAACTGATTTGACAGCAGCCCAGAGCGCTTCTGCTCCATCAGTTTCGACATAGCTGCCCATTAGAGAGTGGGTTAGCAGGGATGTCCCCTGTCTGTGTCCTTGCTGTTCCGGTCCTATGTTTTGACCTCACAGGCTGTGGGTTCCTGCTCGTCGCTGTTTGCAGCTAGTTGGCAACTCAAGAGCTTATTACTGCTGCATGAAGTGACACAACATGCTTCACTTCTTGGCAGACCCTGTGTTTAGGCTATGGATTAGTCCCTTCTGCCCCGAGACACAGCTCAAACCCTGAATCAATGGACCGGCTCTATAGGCCTTTTTCACAGAAGACACAGGTGTAAATAATTCAATGAATGATGGCTGAATTCCATTAAGCTGCTTCAGTTTCAGGGTCCTGGTATTGTCTTGTGCAAGCTGGCTCAATGTGACACTGTCATGGCTTACTGGGACAATATACCTTTTTCACAGCAGCCAGTTTGACATGAAGGATAGTAGGATAAACACAGATGTTACCTAGGTCTGTTCATTTAGTGTGGCAGAGCCTTTCCAGTGAGCCAACAAGCACAATAGCAGCACCCTGACTGTCTGAATAGAACAGTCCCTTAATGGTATCATTGTGTGTTTACCCTACTATTTCGTGTCAAAACATCTGCTGTGAAAAAGGTATATTAGGAAAGCCCAAGAGAACCAATCACATACATAGAAAGCATTTCTCTCTAATTAATTACAACAAATGAAGTGAGACTTAATGTCACCCAGCATCCCCTGGGACAATGTAGCCACAGCTGCAGTTCTCTACATGTGTTCTGCTGCCTGCTGTAGTTTCTGTACCTCCTGCTAATGATGGCCACACTGATTTACAGATGTGCCAGAAGCACCACGAGGTCTTATCTCACCAAACTAGAGATTACTCGTACTCGTACTGTAGGGCTCGGTAGAGGTTATTCAGGACAGAGGACTTCATGGGTTGCTACGAAGAAGAGAAGGCCTTTTAAGTGTGTGGTGGATCTTATATATCAGTGAGGTAACAGCTGGCCATCAACAGGAACTGAGAAGGATTTGTGGCATGAGAGGTAGCCAAAAGGTGGAAGGTATTTTAACTATTACCCTTCCCCACATTCGAGCTTAGCAACACGGCCTCACTGATGATACAGAAATCTTCAGCTTCCCTCCTTAGTCCTTCACACTCCACGAGCCTCCAAGCTCTCGTCATTACAGCGCTCATGCAATTATTTGTCCTGGAATGTGTTCTGCCCCACTTGCACTTCCCCTCGACATGCTGCTTTTGTTATTCTGCAACAATAAGGTCCATTAATCTTTAATAAAACAGAAGGCAGCCTTACCACTGGCAAGAGAAAAAGTCAAATCAATAAGCCATGTTACCAAGTGGAACACTGTAGAGAAATGAAAAGCAAATTACAGCGACTTAAAGCTTCATCAAGGCTGTTCATTTCAGAGTGTTGTACTTTGAAAGGGTGCGGGCGTGTATTCATTTTAAGAAAGCGTTCATTTTTATGACTAAAAGAAATATTACATGCCAAACAATCTCTGCAAAAAGTGCTTCATTTCTTAATTGATACTGTTTGAATTATGCACCTGTACTTCAGCAGCAGTTGTAAACATTAAAATTTATTGGGCAAGATGTATGTCAAGAAGCAGCCATAACTTTGCATGAAAATACAATCGCAACACAGATTTTTATACAATATATCGGGACAGTGTGACAGTCCAAATATGTTCCTGGTAGTATTCTGACATCTAGTGGCTCAATATCACTACTGCACTCACGGTTCAGGTTGATGGTGTTTTCTTGCAGTCTCACAAATCCTTGGCAAAAAGCACAAATGCAGTCATTTAGTTATCTTCTAAAATTATAGCTGCAGTAAAAACTTATGAACACTAGCATTTCTCATAGGTTTTGTACATTAAAAACAGTTGGTTCAGCTTTAACATGACTGCCAGAATTACTTTTTAGTAATGTTTAAGAGGTCACTGGTTTGGTTAGGAAATCCTGTGCCACAGTGGCCATGAATGCACACCCAGAAAGGTCATGAACTGCCAAACTTTATTTTCTGATAAAACAAAGGACAGCGTTAAAACATTTCAACACTGTAACGACATTCACTCACTGTCTTACGTGTGAAAAAAAAAAAAAAAAAATGGCTCGTGAACAACGTACACACACACACAGTTCCATTTTCTTGCTCGTACAGGCGTTGTGGTGATTTCCCTCCAAAAAGCGTCCCACTGACCCCTTAACAGGCTGGCATCCTGCAGCTAATGGTTGCTTTGCTGGTAGTGGTTGTAGAGCTGCTACATTAGGCAACTCTTATTATGAACCGTAATGGATATATTTATCCACCGTAATTCATTCCACTTTGCCGGTATTGGATCGACCCCCACCCGTCTCTCTAACATCACACGCATTATCTCTGCTTGTGTTTGCTCAAGGTGAAGACATCATGTATTGTCACTCGGAGGACTGTGAATACAAAATGCCCTCAGACATCGATTATGTGCCTTGGGTGCAACCTGCCTCTCTGTCTTTTTCTCTCTCATCCCTTCCCATCCCCCCTCCGCTGCTACATCATGTTGTGTAGTCACAGAGGAGAGGATATTGTGTGTTCGCTGGATGGATGGAAAACATTCTCATGGTTAGCACTACACCACAGGAGTGCTGGGACAATGACTAAGTTGCGTGCCATGAAACGGTCTCCCTTGACTCTACTGTGAACTTTCAGATTTTGGACTGGATTGGGATTTTTCAAGGAGGAAGTGAGACAGGTTAAAAATGTCTTCCTCCCTTTTCTTTGACAGGCAGTTTCCATTTTGCCAGAGCCCTGTTCTCAGCTCATCCGTTATTGGAGCCTAAAGTTGACAAGGCTTGTTCCACTTCTGATGGCACCAGCTTTAACCTCATGCTGCGCTGCTACCGCAGATCCACTTCTTGTTTGACATTTAGTTGTACACACCAGCAGAGGAATGGAAAACTGTCGAGCATTCATTTATTAAAAGGGTCAGTTCACATAAATCATAATGAACACGTTCTCTTCCTTAACTTTAGTAGATCCTGCCATTAGTGTGATGTGTGGATTTTTTGTGATATTGTCTTTAGAGTCCTGCTGGCCCCCCAAGTATAATCGTGGGGAATGGAATTTAATTTTGTAGTTCTCAAAGTAGAAAAATTACATTTAAAAAGTGTATCTTTACTCGTGTTACTCAGGATAATCTCCGGGCCAGGTTTTATCATTATTAGTAAAAGAAATATAGTGATAAAAATTGGTGAGTGAGGTCTGCGTCCAGCTTGTCACATGGACATTGTGTTTATACAACGTCACAGCCTTGCCAATGTTGTAGCCGTAGCATTAGCCAATATTTGTCTCCTCAGTGAAGGTGTTCCAGCTTGACCCTACTGGCTGCAGAAGAACAAGCGGGAACAGACTCTGCTCGCCGTGACTCTATAGAATCAGCATTAGCAGCGGTGTCAGAGCCCAGGGGGAGCAGTTACCTCGAGCTCAGCAGCGGCTGTGATGTGAATGGCATTTGGCACGGGAAGTGTAGCTGTGTGAGGCCTTGCGTATGGCTAACTTCACCACCCCACAAATAGAGCCAATGTGTTGAGCAGCTGTGGAAGTGACGACTGGAGCGCTGCCAGGCCCGCTCCGTTTGATGCCGTGATTTAGCTTTGTGCTCCCTGGCTAACCTCGATTTTTAATGGAGGGCGATGCTTGGCTGAAGGGAGGGCATGTTGGCACAACACAGGGTCTTCCTCAGGCTGATGTCACATGGTAATGTAGACCAGTTCATTTCCAGGCTAGTGGGGCTGCAGGTTTTTCAGATTTGAAATGTCAAGTTTACTCTTCTGCCTGTCGACTGAAGTTATTTGAAGATCAGTGCATACATATGTGCTCTAATATTAAAATGTGACGACGGCGTGCCAGTGTGTGTTTTCTGACTACTAGTGCATGTAAGGACTTTAAGAACAAGTAGAATGTGTTGTATGTTTGTGTGTTGTCTGTGCTGGCGCAGTATGTCCTGTAACGGTGATCAATGAGCTTGTGTTTGAGGTGGGGGCGGCCATAAGGGAAGTGTGGTTGTAGGGGGGGGGTTGCTGAGATTGGGCTCCCATTTTAATGAGATCCTTGACTTGAGACGAGACAAGGACAACAGCAACGCTTTTCCCTCCTTCTCGTTTCTCCCATTGCCTTTTATCCTTTCTCCCCTCCCCTCCTCTTCCTCCTCCATTTCTCCTTCTCCTTTCGCCCTTCCTCCATTGTTCTCTCTTTCCTGTCTCACTCTCATGCCCTCTGTCTCTGGATAACAGAAGCCAGTTTATAAAGGGGAAATCGGGCCACCCCCAGTTGTTTTCTATAACCTGTTATCTCCCAGTACAAGATATTGGACAATGCTGCATGTCAGCTCAAGTATTCATTTCAACCATTTGAAAACAAAAGGAAGAACTGGGCCAACACTGGAGCACAGTGCTACAGGATGTGGAGTGTGTTTGACAATGTTGTGCTAAAGTGATCCATAAAGCATGGGTAGGTGTGTCAGCCTGGTCAGACCAGGGTACCTTCACCTGTCCGTTTGCTTGTAGGCGTTTATTTGCAGACGAGCCCGTAACTCGTAAGACATGTTTTTCGGTCCACCCAGTCATTGCAGCTAGTTGCTAACAGTTGCCACAAGGCGTGTCTTTTTGGCTCGGAACAACATTTTGTTCCTGAATCCTCCTTGCGCAGTGCCATGAATGCACACCCAGAAAGGTCATGAACTGCCAAACTTTATTTTCTGATAAAACAAAGGACAGCGTTAAAACATTTCAACACTGTAACGACATTCACTCACTGTCTTACTTGTGTGAAAAAAAAAAAAAA